TTATACTTGTTTTTCCCAACATCTTTTAATATCAGTTGCATTCAGCTTCAAGGTTTGGAATATGTACTTGACCTGGAGAGTATATTGCCACTTGTTTGGAAAATAAAAAAAGTCTCGGAATTTTATCTCCCAAATTAGCTATCATTATTATTTTTTTAAATATCAATTCTAACTGGTAGACTGCCACCGGTTCCTAAACGATTTTTCACAACCAATTCCTTTTTCAGCATTAAACTTTCACCATCTTACACTATCGCCTAACACAGTATTTATGAAATATCATTGACTCAGATGTATTAGGCTCAGTTTTCCTTGGATGCAGGTTCGCATACTAGACCTGTGTGGCACTCGACTTTTCCATTTAAGACAGTTGATATGAAGGGACCAATATATAATCTTATTTTGATTTGATTTATTAACTTTATTTAGTTTTCTATCCGAAGGCGTGAACGGTTAACTACTGATGGGTTCTTTAGTCACTTCACTTTAGTTCTCGTGTTCCTCAAGGAAGTGTAACAGTAACCTATCTCTTTACATTCTTTGCGAGTGTCATGCTGTGTGATTCTCATTCAAATTTGATGACCTATGTTACTGACACCTCTTTATATTATCCTATAATTGAACCTTGGAGATTACTTGAGGCTAATCAATTAGATTAGGATCTAATTATTGTTTTCCTTCGTCATCCTTAATGCTTTAAATTCAATTCATCTGTAGCTAATAGTACCCTCTTTGATCGCTCAAGAACAGCCATACCCCTTACCCCCTACTCCCTACCCCTCAGCCTGATACCATAATTCAGACCCAATTAATTAGTCTTTGAAACTAACTTAAACAACTATAGCTAATATTGAACTCTACAGTGACTCGTGAGACCCAACAGGACGGTCTGATAAGGAGATATGGAATTATTTCTTGTGATGACGTGCATGTTCGAAATAGTTGAATTTAAATATTGTGTTCCAAATAAAATTATTTCATTGAAAAAAAAACGAATAAGTTTGAAGAAGAAGAGGAAGAAGAAAAAACATTATGAACTTTTGTATTGTATCGTCCTTTCTGTTCTTTTGATCTTTCTCTTCTTCCCTGTTATTCATCTGTCTTTGTTCACTGTAGGAACTTTGCTTGGGTCTTAGTAATGAGAGTAATAATAATAATAATATAGATGATAATAGCGATAATGATCATATAATGATAATAGCCATAACGATAAGAACCATTAGAATGATAATGATAATAGTAATAAAGTAACGATAATAAAAAGGTTAAAAATGATAAATACGATTATAATTATGATAATGATAATGACTGTACTGATAATAATACTATAAATAACAGCAATAATAATAATGCTACTACTACTACTTCTGATGATGATACTTAAAATAATGATCATAATAAAGTCAATAACAATGCTAATAATAATGTTAATAATAATGAAAATAATAATAATGATAGCAATAGTAATGATAAATATTGCACACTCATACACACAACCACACACACACACACACACACACACATATATATATATATATATATATATATATATATATATATATATATATATATATATATATATATATATATGTGTGTGTGTGTGTGTGTGTGTGTGTGTGTGTGTGTGTGTGTGTGTGTGTGTGTGTATGTGTGTATAAATCTACATATAAACCTCGTCTCTCTCCTTGGCCTTCCTTCCTCCGCCCTCCCCCCCCCCGCCCTCCATTCACTATAGGCGCCTCCCTCCCACTAATTACCATAATGTACAAGTTCTCAAAATCCCCTTGTGTCTTGTTCGGTCTGTCGTGAGCCTTTCCTCGGGGCAGGAGACGGTTGATCTTGAGATGCCTCCCTCCTTTTTCTTCTCTCTCTCCCTTCCCCTTTCATTTTCTCTCTTCCTTCCCCTTTTCTTCTCTCTCTCTCTCCTTTTTCTTCTCTCTCTCTCTCTCCCCCTTTCCTTCCCTCTTTCCTTCTCTTCCTCCCTCCCTCTTTCCTTCTCTCTCTCCCTACCCCTTTCCTTCTCTTTCTCCCTCTCCTTTTCCCTCTCTCTCTTCCTACTCCTTTCCTTCTCTCTCTTTCTCTCTCTCTCTCTCTCTCTCTCTCTCTCTCTCTCTCTCTCTCTCTCCTCTCTCTCTCTCTCTCTCTCTCTCTCTCTCTCTTTCCTTCTTTTTCTTCCTCCCCCTTTCCTTCTCTCTCTCTCCTTTTTTTCTCTCTCCCTTTCCTTCTCTCGCCCCCTCCCATTTTCCTTCTCTCTCTTCCTCTTCCTTTCCTTCTCTCTCTTCCTCTTCCTTTCCTTCTCTCTCTTCCTCTTCCTTTCCTTCTCTCTCTTCCTCCCCCTTTCCTTCTCTCTCTTCCCTTTTCTCTCCCCCTTTCGTCTAAGTCTCCCTCCCCCTTCCCTTCTCTCTTTCCCCCCTTTTCCTTCTCTCTACTCCTCCCCCGTTTTCCTTCTCTTGTCATGAATCACGGTTTTCGACATTTCACGATTATGAAATGTCTTAAACTCCCACTCACGATCACTCTCATGCGAAAAGAAGTTTGAAAAAGGTCTCGACAGACAACTGCAAGGAGACGATTTATCTCCCGGGGCTGAGGATGCCCTGTGTTCGCTCCGGGGCTCCACACCTGTATAGAAAACGCTCCCCGGGATAGAAAACGCGGCTACACCTCCCTCCCTTTTACTGTTTTATTTTATTTGCTTGTTTTTATAATAATTAAAAGTTTTTTTTTTATCGGTATTTGTACTTTTACGCAAGAATTCCAAAACTGTGTTATGAATGAGCGAAGAAACGAGAGAGTAAGGATGAATCTATTATTTTATCTTTTTACTTCAAGTATTTATTATGTTAGTTCATTTTATTTCTTTTACACACTGATTTTGTTATTTTTAATTCTTTTAAATATACTTTTCTGAAGTATAATGAGTAAAGAGATTCCCATCCTTAATTACGCTCTATCGCGTCACGAGATTACAAGGGAAGATACGAGCATCATGGCAACGAATGGGCAGTCGATCGCAGAGAAACCCGGGCATGGACTTTCCCTAAGGCAGATAAGTGGTCGTGAGAAAATTCTTGATTAGGTTGCAGGGGATACTTGTGTTAGTTTAATTAAGCATGCTGATCAACAGATCGGTGTTTCTCTCATCTTTACTTAGTGTTTTATGTTCTTGCGTTTATGTGTCTTATTTTTTGTTTTGTTTTTTATATATGTTTTTTTTTTGTGTGTGTGTGTGTTCTATTTTCCTAAGTGATTTTTAGCGTTTTATGTTCTTGCGTTCATGTGTCTTATTTTTGTTTTTGTATATGTTCTTGTGTTCTATTTTTCTAAGTGATTTTAGTGTTTTATGTTCGTGCTCATTTTAGTGTTTTATGTTCGTGTTCTCAATGTTTCATTTTATACTTTTACCATTACTTTAATAATGAAAAGTACGCAAAAATATGAAAACTGTTTTTACAATATACCCTCGCAGTATTGTGAATAGAAAGAATGAGACCCCAGAGGCTGGAAGGCGGAATGAAATGTAGATTAAGTCATCAGAACAGGAAACGGCGCCACACATCGCGGAGCTACACTGCGTCTGGGAAGCCATCCCCCCCTCCCCCCCACACACACACAGCACACAGTCTCATCTCGGCTAAGACACGCTAAACGAACTCTCGCACACAACTACACTTACATTCCTTCTCTCTGTCTGTCTGTCTGTCTGTCTCTGTCTGTCTCTCTCTCTCTCTCTCTCTCTCTCTCTCTCTCTCTCTCTCTCTCTCTCTCTCTCTCTCTCTCTCTCTCTCTCTCTCTCTCTCTCTCTTCTCTCTCTCTCTCTCTCTCCTCTCTCTCTCTCTCTCTCCTCCTCTCTCTCTCTCTCTCTCTCTCTCACTCTCTCTCTCTCTCTCTCTCTCTCTCTCTCTCTCTCTCTCTCTCTCTCTCTCTCTCCCCTATCTCTCTCTCTCCCTCCCTCCCTCCTCTCTCTCTCTCTCTCTCTCTCTCCTCTCCCTCCCTCCCTCTCACTCTCTCCTCCTCTCTCCCTCCCTCTCTCTCTCTCTCTCATCCACACACTCACTATCTCTCCGTTCCTCACGCTCTTCCCTTACACTATCATCATCTTACTACATTGAGACATCCCTTTCCCATACGGTAATTAAATAGGTGGTGGCAGCGAGCGGTTTTCTTCATTTTTACGAGATATTATTAAACAGCACTAATTGCTACACTCTCTCTTCCCCCCACCCCCTTTTTCCTTCTCTTTTCCTCCTTCCCTTTCCGTCTTTCTCTTCTTCCCCCTTTCCTTTTCTCTCTTTTTCCCCTTTTCCTTCTCTCCCTCTTCCCCCTTTTCCTTCTCCTTCTCCCTCTTTCTTCCTCTCTCCCTGTTCCTCTCTTTCCTCTTCTTTCTTCCCTTTCTCTTCTACCTTACCTCTCTCTCTCTCTCTCTCTCTCTCTCTCTCTCTCTCTCTCTCTCTCTCTCTCTCTCTCTCTCTCTCTCTCTCTCTCTCTCTCTCCTTCCCTCCGCCATCCGGTTTCCTCTTTCTCATTCTCTTCCCACTTCCTCCTTTCCCTGTTCCTCCTTCTCTCTCATTTTTCCCCTGTTTCCCTTCTTTCTTCCCCATCCCCTATTTCTCCCCTCTCTCCCGTCCTCCCTTTCTCCTTCCCTTTCTTCTTCTTCTTTACCTCTCCTTCCTCCTCTTTCATTCCACCTTCCTCTTTCCTTCCTCTCTCTTTCCTACTTCTCTCATCTCCTCTCTTTTCCCTTTCTTTACTTTCTGCTTCTCCCTTTTCTCTCTCTCCATCTCCTTCACGTGTCTAATTTGTTTCCCCTCTTCCCCTACCTCCTCATTCCCCTCACTTTCCCTTCCAATTCCTTCAATTCCTTCTCCCCTCGCGTCCTTTCATCTCCCTATCTCTCTCCCTTTCTTCCCTCCACCGTCCCCTCCCCCCTCCTTCCCCCCACACCCCTCACCCGCCCCCCACCCTGGCTTGACCTTCTTTTCACGACCACTACCTGTCTTTTCATTTGCTCCCCTCCCCCCCTTCCCCTCCCCTCTCTCTCTCTCTCTCTCTCTCTCTCTCTCTTTCTCTTTCGCCCCCCCCCCCCCTGCACCATCTTTTCGCTTCTCTTTCGTGTATTTCTTTTTCTTTATATTCTCTCGTCCTCTCTTTCGTTTGTTGATTTGTCTCCTTCGTTAACTTTACTCCTCTTTTTCTTCTTCTTCTTCTCTTCTATTCTTCTTGTTTTTATTGCCTGTCTCTTCTTACTTTTCGTTCTCTTTGTCTTCTTTTCTTTCTCCTCTTCCTGTGTCTGCTCTTCGTCGCTCTCTTTTCTTTTCTTTTCCTTATCTGTGTCATCTTCTACCATTCTCCTCCTCCTCCATTTTCTTTTCTCTTTTTCTTCCTCCTCCTCCTTTCTCCCCTCCACCACCTATCCCCCTCCCCCTTCTTCTCCTATTCACCTTCCTCATTTATCTATCTCTTCCCCTCTTCGCCCTCTTCCTCCTCCTTCAGTTTCTCCTTTCTCCTCCGTTTCCTCCTAACCCTCACTCCCTCCTACTGCTCCTCTCCCTCCTCCCTCCTCCTCCTCCTCCTACCCCTCTTCTTTTCCCTCGCTCCCCTCCTCCTCCTCCTCCTCCCTCCTTCCTTTCTACTGCCTCCCTTTCACGTTGCTTCCGCCTCCCTTCCCCCTCTCTCCCCCTCCACCCCTTCTCTCCCCTGCTCCTCCTCTCTCCTCTTCCTTTTCTTCCACTTCTCCTCCCCTCCTCTCCTCCTCCCCCTCCTCCTACTCTCTTCTCCTCCTTCCTCCTCCCCCTCCTCCGCCTCTCTCCTCCTTCCCCTCCTCCTCCTCTCTGCTCCCTCCTCCTCCTCCTCCTCTCTCCTCTCTCCTCCTCCTCCTCTCTCCTCTCTCCTCCTCCTCCTCTCTCCTCCTTCCCCTCCTCCTCCTCTCTGCTCCCTCCTCTTCCTCCTCTCTCCTCCTTCCCCTCCTCCTCCTCCTCTCTCCTCCTCCTCCTCCTCCTCCTCTCTCCTCCTTCCCCTCCTCCTCCTCCTCTCTGCTCCCTCCTCCTCCTCCTCCTCTCTCCTCCTTCCCCATCCTCCTCCTCTTTGCTCCCTCCTCCTCCTCCCTCCCTCCCTCTCTGCCGCCTCCCTTTCACCTTGCTTCCGCCTCCTTCTTCCTACGGCTTTCATCCCCTTCTCGTAATTTTTGTCTCTCTCTTCCCCCCTTCCATCCATACAGACACTTCTTGGAAGATTTAATGGGACTGAGTGACTACCTTTTAGCCTTCTATACACACATATACACGCACAGATACACATGGAGCCGGGATATACATCTGTATAATACGGATACCAGTACACGCGTAGGCAGTCTACCTGGTTGTATGGACGTATATGTAATCGTACGTACACAAAGATGTGTACATGTAAGTAATTCACGTGGAGGAAGGCTTACACGTGCTAGCTTTACGATACACATACATTCAAAAGACACATACTTACTTGTATAGATATCCTGTACACGCAAACATAAGCAAGTAAACACACACACACATAAACAAGCAAACACAAGAACATACCTCCCCATAAACACAGAATCAAATACACAAACACAGCATCCTACAACTCTGCAAACGTAAACAAACACGCCGCCATACAAGCAAACACAAACAACTTGTCTCTCAAACAACCACAAACACTCCACCCCACAATCAAGCACAAACTAACACATCACCCCACAAACAAACACGTCATCACACAAATAAACACACATGATACCCCACAAACAAACAAACAAACAATAAATATATAAGTAAACAAACAAACAAAGAAACCCACAAATAGACATACCCACAAACAAACAAACAAACCCAAAAAACACACCCACAAACAAGCAAACCCAAAAAACACACCCACAAACTCACAAACAATCCCACAAACATTCAAACAAACAGCCCCACAAACACACAACCAACCCAACCTGCCGAACTCCCCCACCCACCCACCCCTCCTCCCTCTCCCTCCCTCCCTCGCCCTCTTCCCTCGCATCCTCATCTCCCATTACTCTCACCTCCGGGATGCTGCTCTCCCGTTCCCTCGGAGGCGTCTGGCTCCTCCTCTGACTCCGGCTCTTTGTGTAGGCCGACGACTGGCGCTTGAGACTCGGTTCCTCGCTCTGGGGGACCTTTCCGATCTGCAGGAAGGTCCGGAAGATGTCCTTGATGTGCAGGTTCTCCTTGGCTGAGCACTCTATGACGCGACACCTGCGGGGGGTAGAAAGAGAGGTAGATTGGGAGGTAGGTTGGTGGGTAGGGAGAGAGGGAGAGAGAGAGAGGAGGGGGAGGGAGAGAGAGAGAGAGAGAGAGAGAGAGAGAGAGAGAGAGAGAGAGAGAGAGAGAGAGAGAGAGAGAGAGAGAGAGAGAGAGAGAGGTAGATAGAGAGGTAGATTGGGAGGTAGGTTGATGGGTAAGGAGAGAGAGAGAGAGGGAGAGGAGGGGGAGGGAGGGAGGGAGTGAAGGAGAG